ATATATGAAATAAGTTAGTAATTGGATTTATTCGATGCAGAAGTGCTTATTTACACATGGGCGTAATGAATTCATGGCGCTGCATTGTGATGGGCCGCTGAAATTGTATGTCTAAACCCTAAATCTTAAATGACTCCAGTGGAAATAAGTTGGAAATGTATTTCTAGTAGTTGTAATTAGAGATTCAGAGTTACTATATACACAGAAAAACGTACACTATTGGGAGCATTTACAAAATTAGAAGTTCTTTGTCTTCATTTTGTGATTACAAAATTATAATTATCAGAATGAAAAATTCAGCATGTGTATCTGAGTTACTCCTCTATTTTGCACGTTTCCAGGTATATTCAAGAGCTTCTTTAGTGATGTTTACATTATGTAAATGTTGTCAAATATGTTGTGTTATCAAATATGAAATTTATTGATATTGAAAGACTATTAATGTTGCTTTATATTCAGTATTTTGGTAGAAAAAAATCAGAATTTTGGAACTTTAATATTTGTTGAAAGGTTGTTCCAACCCGACCAAACCAACCCAACCCGATCGACATTTGGTTGGGTTGGGTTGGGTTTCAATTTTTTCGTGGGTTGGGTTGGGTTGAATTTCGATCAAACCGATCGTATTGGGTTGGGACAAAAATCGACCCAACCCAACCCACGCCCACGCCCACCCCTAGCAGGAAGTATAGAGATTTACTGCTATGTAAATGTACTCAGGAACAAAGAAATGAAATAAATGGTATTTGGCTTTTCGAGAGAGCCAATTCTCTTTCCCAAGACTATACTCAATGTCTTGTCCCTTCATTCTTCTTTTCTCCCTTATTTATAGACTGTGTGATCCCCATACTGTGCTCTAACTGCTTGTATAACTAAATTGTGAATTGTTGTAACTATCTAGCTCATTTCCCTTCTTGTCCTTGCTGCCCCTTGTGCTCTTTACTTACACAATTTGAATTGAGTTGGTGTTCTATCGGTTCAACACATCCTTCTCATGGGACACCACTATTATGTAGTATGTTCAACTAAAAATCTCATTTGACTAAGACAACTCATCCCTTGAGGTCAATGTACTATAATCTCTAGTGAATTGTCCTAGCTCGTGACTGACTGTAATAACTGACCGAGTTAATAGAGCTTGTGATCTCTTTGTATGAAACCCAAATCATGTTAATTGTCACTTGATGAGCAAGTGCTCATATGAACAATTTAGTAAAAAATTGTATACGGCAAATATATATAAAGAATAATGAATCTAAATTTTGTTAATTTCATGTAAAACAATTGCTTCATCTTTTACTACCCAAGCCTTTGATGCACTTTCCATTGAGATGTCTCTACTTCTCTTAACTCGATATTCAAAGTTTATGTAACTAAAACCAATGCTCCCAGTTACTTCTGTTTATATAAGGTTTGTGATTTGGACTTTGGACCATAAATCCTCCGTTTGCACGTCTTTCTCATTTGCACCATAATTTCTTTCTTTTCTTCTATTCTTAATCTCGTGCTGCTAATTATTTTCTTAGAGTTTATCACTTTCTGGTGCTGCGTTTAGTTCTTTCACTGTATATTAATTTTTCAACAGGATAACCTCTTGTTTCCACTAATATGTCCTGAATGGAATGCTGATGAGGAGATATTACTTCTGGAGGTACTACTGTATTTGCTTTTTTAGTTATTTAGTAATATCTCCTCCTTTCTGTAACTCTAGTATTAATATCATATTGTGGCACTATTATTTCCTATCAAACTTACAGTTCTTATTCTTCTTTCTTGTGAAACTCATCTGATAATAATTTCTCCCAGTAGCTCCTTCCTAAACAGTATTGAAAACAATTTCTTGATCTTTGTTCTGAAAGACTCCTTCTCTATAGGGTATTGAAATGTATGGACTGGGGAATTGGGCTGAAGTTGCAGAACATGTCGGAACAAAAAGTAAAGCAAGCTGTATTGAGCATTATAACACCATCTATATGAACTCGCCTGGCTTTCCTCTTCCGGTATGGCATATTGCGGTCCATAGTTATGTGTACTTTTGAAGCTTTTAACTTCAGCTAGATTCCTTTGTTGGTTTCCCTAGGACATGTCTCATGTTATCGGAAAGAGTAGAGAGGAACTCCTTGCTATGGCCAAAGAATATGCTGAAATCAGTAAAGGTTAGCTTATCAGAACATACGTGTGTGTTGAAATTGGAAATCTTGCGAGAGAAAAGTAAATGACCAGCATTTTCTTTGTACTAGTCAAGTTGAACTTTCGTTGCACATTATTCTGAAATGGTTTATAAGTGTTGTGAAAGTAATATTTGGCTCTCCATTTATCCTTTTGATCTTAATATGAGAGAAATGCAAGCCCCAAAATATAAATAATTATTATACATGTACGTAAATAGTGAAATACACACTTGAATGTGATAATTAGAATTACAACTAAATGCATAATTGAAGGTTAATGGCAAATACGATAAATGAATTGACGTGAATGTTAATTAATTTAGAATTAATAATAAGGAATATATACGTGACAATGAATGTTAAATCATTTATACTAAATGAATGTAATTTAATTTCAAATTAAGTGAGATTGGATGCTAATTAACATACATGGACGAGAATAATAAACTTTATACTTGAATGTGAAATTCTAATATATGTTAATTAAATGAATGTGAATGTTAATTAATTGAGAATTAATAAAAGAGACATGAACATGAATGTTAATGTAAAATTCTAATTAATATTAATTAAATAAATGTTAATGTTAATTAATTAAGAATTAATAATAGGGAATACGTGCATGAATTTGTAGTATTTATTACAGTTTGTAAATTAAATACATATTGAAAAATAAAAAGTAATGTATTACTGAAATAATTGAATTGTAGTAGGGCTATAATCATTCAATACATGATTCTCACTTGATGTAATATTTAATATATTATATATTATATTTGGTGTTTGCCTGGTATACCCCTTCCCTCTGTATATGTTATCAATTCATTGAAATTCTACACGTTTATCCATAAACCAAATTGTTAATTTGTGGCTCCCTTCCCAATGCCTTCTTATTGTTTAATTAAATATGGTTTGCTTTAAGAGATGGTGATGACCCGAAATCTTGTGATTCGAGTGCCACTAAAATCGTATCTTGAACGTCAGAAATGCTTTCTAGAACTTAAAAACTTTATTAAAGAATTTTATAAAGGAATAATGAAAGTCAAACCATGACTTAATTTTGTTTTACATCAAATAAAATAAAAACTGGAAGTTTAAATGATGCTCTTAATGTCTAAATTGATACTTATTAAATTTCTTAAGTAAACGGGAAATAAGCTTGTAGGTCTCCTTTCACTTGTCACTTCGTCAACCCTCTTATGTCCCGATTGTAACAACCTTTAATTTTCTTTAAGTGGAAAAGAAGGGGGTGAGAATGATTTATCAATAAACATATAAGTGGAATGGGTAATTAATCCATACATAAGCATAAAGAACGTCATGACATTCTTAAGGAGGCACGAAAAATTGTACCGAACATAGATGGTATGAAAATTCGAGTGTAGCACTACTAAACTTCGGTCTCAAACCTTAAAACATACATATAGGACTTATAATTAGTCCCGTCTGTCTAAAATTCTCCAAAAATCGTTTTTTTTTTGTAACTAAATTCATTTTCAACTACACATTCTCACAATAAAATATTTTGTACGTAAACCTAAAATTTTTCCATACTTTTTAACAACACATTGAAATCATTATTTCAAAACTCATTTTTCCTAAAAAACCTCTTTTAATGGACATCAAACACGGGCATTCATAAAACTCACATATAGGACCCATATTCATTGTTGTAACAAGCATATGGAAAATTTATCTTTATACAATATAAAGCACTCGTATGTTTAACTGGAAAAATAATAAAAGAACTAAAGAAATTGATACTTGGACTATAATTCTCAATCCGCGTGTTTGTAGTATTTACGTGTAGGTGTGTCTAAGAAAGAGGTGATGTGTAAATTTCTTAGAAATCATGCACATATATATAGCACTCTAATGATGCATTGGAAAAATCCCATCACTTCTAAATAAATTTTAATGCTTAAAGGATAATGACAATATCAAACAGAATTTGTTTATCTAACTTTATCACAAAATTCGAGAGGTTCTATCACTTTGGAGATCAAATATTATTTCAATAATTTCTATTCTTGAATTATTTTAAACATATTTTGTCCAAAATAAAATCTTCTTAGAGTCAATACTCATATTTTAATATGAGTTCAATATGATACCCATATATAGCCTCCGTTTGGTATACATTCTTTCAAAATACATTCTTTCAAAACTCATTTTCAATCACATTCTTCAACACAATAAATTCTTTTCTTAATAATATCTATCAAAACACCCATATACATAAATTTTGAAAATATTTGCACTTTAATCCCTAAACTATTAGCCAACAATCAAATAGGTCCCTAACTATCATATTCACGCGATAAGGTCCTAAATTTAAACTCTAATGCTCGGATTTTTTGAAATGGGGGAAGTACCCGTGTCGACATGACATGACATTGGTATGAGATATGTGTCGGATCTTCCAAATTTCAATTAGACGTTTCGCCATTCCTGCTTTCTTTTTCTTCCTTTTTTTCCCTTTTCTTTCCCCTTTCTTCTTTCCCATTTTGCTCTCGTTAAACATAGTGCCACCGCCGAGAAGGTGGAGGAAGGCAGCGGCGCTAGGTTTTCCCCTTTTTTCTTTCCCTATTCTTTTTTTTTTTCCTTCTTTCCCTCCTTATATCATGATTTAGGGTTTTCTTTGTATAAAATGAAAATGAGTTCCATACAGTGTTACTTTGTGTTTCACTAAGTCCAAATTGCAATCAAATTCCTCATTTTCTATTTTTTATAAGATTTAGTAATTAATTTCCCATATTAAAAATTAAATTCCAAAATTCTATTTTATTCGTTTTAACTCATTATTCAATACTCATTTTATTCTTTGTGAACAATTGATTTTGATCTATTTAAAAGACATCTTGAGTTAGTAAAAGAAATTGAAGTTTGAATGACGTACCCACGTACCTGTATCCGAAATTTGGACTCTTACCACGTCCCAGTATCTTATATTTTAGAAAATAAAAGATCTGACACTTAAATACGTACTCGTATCTGATATCCGTACTCAAGTCTGAGCATCATAGAATTTGAATATAACGACTAGTGCCAGAGTACAGGGTGTCACAATTGCGCTTGCATCTCTTTATTAATCAGGTTTTGGTCCCCAAAAATGTAAATAAGTGATGCAACTAAATTTTAAAAAAGAAGAAACAGGTTGTCGACTTATTACTCCTTTCAGAACAAATTTTGGATAATTATTCTGCTATAAACTGATTTGAAAAGCAGAATCTGAATCAATTCATATTGTCAGCCCCATATTTAGTGGGGGTAAAACAGGCAACCGTCCAGGCCTGCTACCCTTGTGGGGCTGGCCAGTGCGGGCTTCCTTAATTTGTTTTCTGCTTTCTCAGATAATAACCAGTAAAAAAGAAAAAAGAACTGCTTGGCCTGGACCGAGCCGAGTGCGAACTCACATTCTCTGGATGTGCTGGGGCTGTCTTGGTTCAGTTGATACCCTAACCATATTTCATAATTTAATACCTCTTCTCTTTCTACGAATACATTATATGGTCAAAACTAATTGGCTTTCCAAATATTATTTTTAATTCTCTTTTACTTGCTATATTATACCAAGAGTACTCTTGACTAGACTAGTTCATTTGGAAAAATTCAAAGATTTTACACAATGATGTTTTGCTGGTTCCATGACTAAGTTGGGTGAACTTTTCTCACTTGAAAGATGGAATTATGAGTTTTTCTAATGTTTGGGGTGGTTTCCAGTAACTTCAAATCAATGAATAGGTTCTGACTGACTGTAAAACAATTGGACTTCTTGTGAATGGGAGAGTTAGTCAGTTGTCTAAAAATCAGGGGCTTGCCAAGACAGAGAACAATTTAAAATGGGATATTTATATAGAAGTTTCATTTATCTTCTAGAGAGTCATTACTGATTGGCATTATAACTCCGATTTCTAGTTATGTTCTAATATGGTTCAAGTTCGATGGCCTCAGGAACTCCCACTTGTGGAGACGAAAATGGTGCAAAAACAGAGTCTCCATCATCTGCAAGGACCAAGTATATTTGGGTCATTTATTATGTATATTCTTATAGTATCTGTTTGTTTTGTTTGTTTTCCTTATCTAATTCCTTTTGATATTGAGTAATCAGGTTGGAAGATCAAAGAAAAGAATGCCCAGCAGGACATTCCTCTTCAAACATATCTTCTGGTACAGTAATAAATGGTATGGAACTTTCTGACCCTCATTCTTGAAATAGATAAGTGCATATGTTCAAAAACACATGCTCTCACACACATTGATGGGAAATGTAGATAATAATAAAGATAGGACTTAGATATGATTTTAAAGTAGAGTTTGATTCAAATTATATTTGTTTAGATTAGAATAAATAAGTTTTAATATTTTGATAATGTTCTAGTTTATTAAAAGTTCCTTTGATTTTGGCTTCTTTGCCTTATATAATGGGGGTTTATGCATTGTAATGCTTAGACTTCGGTTGTAAAATAAATTAATGCCGTCCCTCTAAATTCTCTCTCTCTCTCTCTTCCTCTTTATTTTCTCAATCTTGTCATACATCACATCACATGTACATACACATTTGCAGTCACATATTGGATAAAAATTGCATACTCTGATGTATTCTCTCTTTTCAGAGGTAGGTTCCGGTGAAGGTTCTAGCTATGCGAACACATCAGCTGGGGCGCTTAAGGGGGTGTCTAGTATAGTCCCGAGTAAGGATGGTCATGACAACATTAAAGTGGAAGGTATAAATTGATTCATACTTCAAACAACCATTTGATGTCCACTTTTATTTTGTATAGGTCTGACCCACGTTTATATATATATATATATAGGTTGATTGAGTTTAGTGCAATGAATTTTCTAGTATATTTATGTAGCATGAGCACATGTTGAATTGAACATTCTGCTGCAAAATACTGATTGCTAGTGAATATACACTGCATATTGTTGTTTTACTGCTATTTGGGCGGACACTAGGGGAAAATCCTTTCTGCTAGGTAGCTACTTTTGGAACAACATAGTTCTCATCTGAACTAGACTTTTTGGGAATATGACTTGCATGTAATTTACTATATTGATTCATATATTTACAGTCTGCCTTTTGTTAAAGAACTGAATTGAACATTTGAAGTACTTTGAAAGAAAGGTGGAAACTGACTAATTCTGTCAGATGTCACACCATTTTTAGGATGTTTAATCCCTTTTTCTCAAATGGAATGTCTTGGTTTACATTTTGGAACATTCCAAATTTTTTTCTGCTTTCCTAAGATTTAACATTTCCATCACTATTCTTCTTTCCCATGCTACCCTCAGACCACGTTGTATTTTTCATACATGCATATAAGCAAACTCATGGTCCCGCATAGATTCACACAAGATATAATTGGAGAACTACAGAAAACACCCCACTTCTCAACTCTTCATATTGTGCTGGGTGAAACCAAGACATTCCTAGTTGGGATGGGGATATTAGACTCTGAAGGTGTTACTGTTAAGATAATTGAAATTTGCTATACTTCCTGCTTTTCTTGATTCTTAACAATTATGTCTTTTTAACTTAAATGATGTCAGATTTGTGGATTTCTATCTCATATCATGATTGCACTTACTTTTCATGTCTGGCCAATCTTGAGAATATTTGCTTGCTCTAATTCTTATAGTGATGATAGAAAACACGATTCATCTATTTCACACGATAAATGTTCAAAAGAATCTCTATGATTCTATGTAATATCCTGCAGATAGGAGCATTGGGGAGAAAAAGCCTAGGATTTTCGGGGAGAAGGGCCCTTCTATGAAGGAATTAAGTGGCTACAACTCCAAGAGACAAGAGTTTGAGGTTGAGTATGATAATGATGCTGAGCAGTTACTGGCTGACATGGAATTCAAGGATACAGATTCTAATGGTGATCGTGACCTAAAATTGCGTGTGTTGCATATATACTCAAAAAAGTGAGTGAGTTTCTTCCTTTATTGTTTTTGGTTCTTTTTTCTGCCTGTGTTTCTTTTTTCCCGTCTAAGATGCAATCTGGTTGATGAGTTAGAAGTTTGGTGCTTTAAAATATAGATTGATTTAATTAAGTAATTGTCCTGTGTCGCAAGCAATCCGTGACTTGTGAAGGGAACAAAAGAATGAAAATATAAGGATTATTTTATATGAAAATGAGAACAAACAAAATGAAAGCATCAATAACTGTGTTTTCAGAATTCATTCTATCGTGCGCAGGGTATGCTCGGTTTCTGTATGGTTCTGTAGTTTAAATGAGCCTATGAATCTATAGATTTCTCTTTTCTTATTAATGTGTTTTGGAGCTTAGAGAATTGATACTTGCTAAGTTCTCTGGTTTGTTGAGTCCTATTGTAATCCACAAGCCTTAAGTGCTTACAATTAGTTATCAGATAAAAAAAAGTCAAGTCTTTCAGATATTTTTGAGTTTTGCAATTGTCATACTTGAAATTTTTGGCCAATTTATTTACTGATAAAATGGTTATTGATATGATAACACATTTACTAGTCCAAACCATGCCAGGAACCTTACTGTCAGTTCGGTCCTTTTGTTATATATAGTTGTTTTCATTTCTTCTTTGCTTGCCATACCAATCTGTCAACGTGGCAGACTTGATGAAAGAAAACGGAGGAAAGACTTCATATTGGAAAGAAATTTGCTCTATCCCGATCCTTTTGAAGAGGACCTGACTATGGAAGAGAAGGATTTATGTCACCACTATAGGGTGTTTATGCGATTCCATTCCAGAGAAGAACACGAACAATTGCTGAGGAGCATTATTGAGGAGCATCGGATTTTGAAACGGATACAAGATCTTCAGGTATGACACACAGCTAAGATGCTGTGTTTAGATTTTCATTAATATGCTGATATCCTCGTTATCTGTGGCTACACGTTATCACATCACCTTTGCCACCATCACCATTTAAAATCTGTAAAGAATTACATATAAGGTCTGAATTCTGATGCAGCAAACAACTTTAAACTTTAGAATCTGAAAAATGACTTTGAATGGCCATTTAAGTTATGGAAGTTCACCAAGTTGAGAAAGATGAGAACAGGGTAACATAGAATATCATATTCCACATTTTTGATGGCTAACTCTGGAATTTATGCCTTAGTTTGTGAACAAACATATTGATTTTTTGTAACCCGGGGAATAAAATTTGAAAGAGGACTGAAAGTCTTGAGCCCTGTTTATGTGCAACAGAAATGATCACCGTTCTATGGCACATATCTGATTTGAGTATGTTTCTTGTTCTTCTTTCTTATTTAGACTCCCAACAGTGCAATTTAATGCTTTCTGCAAGGTTGTCCTTTTCTAGAGGTGGTGCAGAGAAAAATGTAAATGAGATTCCATTATTGCTCTTCAATCTACCTCCAGTACTTGTTTATTTGCTCATGTTACATTGGGTTGTGCAGTCATTTACAAGGCTTGATCCCTTGTGTGTATATTATCATTTTACTTCATCATCAAAATCTGCAGTATCTTCTTGTGCCATTTCTTTATGTGGGTTGGGTTGGGTCGGTTTTTGCTTCAACCCAAACCCCACCCAACATGATTGGTTTGATCAAAATTTAACCCAACTCAACCTGTGTAAAAGTTAAAACCCAACCCAACCCAATCAAGTATCGGTCGGGTCGGGTTGGGTTGGGTTTGTCGGTTTGGGACGACTTGTCAACAAAAATTAAAGTCATCCAATTTTTTATTATACTAAATTCGAATCGACAAGATTAAATAGTAAGTAAACAAATAAATAAATAAAATTATCTATTATCTTATTTAATCCTCATTAGCCGAGTTTACAAAGAACAAAATACATTTAACATAACATGGAAAACGTATACTACATTTCTTGTGGGAATAACAGTAAGCTCCTCCTCTAAAATATGTCAAGGTAATTATATTTACACTATCTGCTTATACTTTTTAGGTTTCTTTTACTTTTCTAGTAATTTTATTATTATTATTATTATTATTATTATTATTTTTTAAAGTGGCGGGTTGGGTTGGGCAGGTTTATTCGGTTTTCATGAGTTAACCCATAACCCGACCCAACCCGCCAACCCAGCCAACCCGCGTAAAAACAATAAAAAAACCGACCCAACCCTGTCTGGTTGGTTCGGTTTGGGCGGTTTTGGTGGGTTCGGTCGGATTTTGCCCACCCCTAGTTTCCGTATATCTGGTTCTGAAAAGTCTCTGATGAGAAATGACGAGGGTCTTCAATTGGACCTTCAGTACTGTAATGAGAATATGCACACTAGGAGAACTGAAGGTCCACATGGTATTCATAAAGTACTTCCTGTACAGGAAGCCCGAGCTGCTGGCTGCTACACATCTGTTGATGCGGAAAGATACATTGAACAGAAGATAAAGAGCGAAACAGAGGAAAATGCCCGTAGAGCAAAGGAGGGTTTCCAGGCTGTTTCCAGTGGAAAATCCTTGCAAAGATTGAGTCAGAAAGGAGATGATATGAGTCCGCATGGAGGTATCAGGAGCCCTGGTGTACCAGATTCTGAGGGAAAGCATCTTTCACCAACCACCAAGGGGCTTACTCTTTCTAATTTCTCAGAGAATTGGGATGTCACTGAATTTTTAGGAGCCGATTTACTCTCTCACTCTGTAAGAATTACCCTCTATAGCTTGGTCTCATTGGCTGCCTTGGGATGCCCAGGAGGGCTGGCATTTCAATTCATTCGTTCTCTTCTACTGTATTTTTATACTTAAACTATATTATCGATTTGACTATGCATCTACTATGATTTGTACATGTAGGAGAAAAAGCTGTGTGGGGAGATCAGAATCTTACCAACACATTATCTCAACATGCTGCAGACCATGTCGATGGGGATTTTAAATGGAAACATAACTAATAAATCCGATGCACATGGCCTGTTCAATGTCAATGCGAGCAAGGTGGATAAAGTGTATGACATGCTTATGAAGAAGGGTATTCTTCAAACATGAGCAGAAACATTTCATTACATGCTCATTGCCGATAATGAAGGGAATCTGTCTGAGATTCTACTCTCTGGAAAAGGTAAAAGAAACTTTTGAATTGTTGCACGACTCTCTTATCCAGCAATACCTTGGAATCCTTTGTCGAGGATTTGTTGTGAAGTGGTTTTTAACTACCGTAAATATGTAGTGTATGGATAGTAAAGAATCAGCAGTAGTATGTTAGGACACATTAAGCCGCTTGGGTTTACAAATATTAATCTACTTTGCCATTTACCCAAATGTATACCACTTAATTTAGTTCAAATTCTTGAACTCGTCGTACGTTTGAGCATCATCAATTTTCTTAAGGTAGCTGTATGTTTTTTGGTTAGGTTCTGTTGTGAGTAGATCTTGTATTATCAGTTTACTTTTACTGCTTTATTAATGTTATTAATAAAATTAAGTACATCACTATTATTTTAAGGATTGTGGATGCTTCAATAGTCAGTTGGGAAATCATTGATCTTGCTCAATGCGATTCAAGAGCAAGCTTGAGTTGGTGTTGCCTGTGTGGAGAAGGGTTTTGAGGAAAGAAGTCTATAAGATCATATGGATGTTTGTATTAGGAGCCACACGAACATCATGTTTTATGTTCCTTCCGTTCCATGAAGATGGGCTTGTGGCTTGCTTTCTTTTTTCGTTTGTTCCAAATTATGCGCTACTTTTCTTGAGAGTATAATTGATTTCTTAGTTAATGTCCTTATTTAATGTGTCTTGTTATGAATACATATGAATTACTCGTATTTAAATCATTATTTAATGTAGAGGGTATAGTAAGAAAAATATAAGTAATCCAACTATATTAATTATATTTTTTGAACGTGTGTGAAAATTGGGACAGAGGTAGTACAAAGTATTAGATATTATTAATATATCAAAAATGTTATTATATACTAGTAATTATTGGAATAGAACAAAATACAACTTGTGGGTTTTGGATGCGCCACCATCCATGAGAATCACGAGAAAACAAGCTTATGCAACAGTATTTTTCAATTTTTCCCAATAGAGAGAGACATCGGTAACTTGTAACTAGTTTGATCGTTCGTGTTGTATATATATATATATATATTATGTAGGAATATATCTAAAAGAGCTATAATAGTGTCATATTTTAGCATATTCCATTTGTTGATCTTTGGAATATAAATTTTTTACGCTAAATTGGATATAATTAGATGAGATATGGATGAAAATGTTACATGTTTTTATTCTTTAACGTTTACCTATTTCGTGCAACCCTTTCATTTTAGCACAAAATTCCCCTCAATTAACCACACTTCACGAAATGTAACATTTTCTTCATAAAACCTTGTAAAACGATGAATTTACTCTTATATTTAAATAAACAAAAAGAAAAGAAGAAAAAAAATTAAAAATTGTAATCATCGTTCCAAAGATTTCAAAAAGTGCAAAGGGTTCCAATTAAAACTTTAAAAAGATAAACATTAAAAAAAAAAAATCTTTTTTCTTCTCCATATTTTGTGAAGATCTTGTTTAGGAGCATCAAGTAGTTTTGTTAATCTATATTTTGTATAATAGAGTTGTATAGTGACTTTGCTTAGTCCAAAAAGTGAGCGTAACACTTTGTTTAAGATTTTTGCAACGACTTTATTTGTGGTTTTGTCGATATTTAATATATGATTTGATATCCAATAAAGGAAACGATGTTTTGTAGTCAATAAATTATTGAAGTTAAAGTGAAAATGAAGAAAAAATATATAATGAAATCGCGATTTAATACAAAATTATGTTGAGTTTTCCTCAAACCATTTTAAATGGTTTGATTTGGATTTGGATTTTTCTCGCAAATTTTGTACTCCTAGCATTGTTCTATGAAGAACAACAATAGAGAAGAGTACATACATTAACTTCTAACAACGTTTTAACACATCAAACAAGTTTAGTTTTTGATTCCATAGTTTCTAGCATTCTTCTAAAATAGCAGTTAGAATTTCATTTGTTTCTTTTTCGAAGTCTTTATCTGCTTATCTTTTATCCTTTGTTTACACTTCACACAAGCCTATATGTTTAATATTGTGCGTGTGTTTCTATATATATTGTTTACACTTCCATTGACTTTTGTTATTTTAATATTGTTTAAACTATTTTATTGAGGGTAAAGTCACTTTGCCAGATAGATTTTGGCACATGTCTTGATGTAATGGGTATTGGCAAGATATGATTGAGTGGAAAATTTGACTGTGTTTTGAACAGTTTTATAATAACATATCATGTGACATTATGTTAAGGATTATGTCAACATTTGGACACTGTAACATGATTCTTTGACCAAGTATGTAGTGGGTAACTTGTGAAGATGATAAATTTTATTTTAAATCATATTTACTCTACATGATTATTAGTGTGAAGCAATGTCCGACTTTCTTATTGCTTTTTACTTAAATGTTTTGAATCAGATACCAAAGATCTAATTCTATTGATATGCACGTACATGCTACATTAATCGTATAATGTTGTAACAATAAGTCTTGTAGTCAAGACGTGTAACTAGACTCAAGTCGAAGAAAGATAGAATGGACTAAAGAAAGTGAGAAGGTGTCCAACTCTATGAGTCGAAAAATTTCTTATTTTATCTTAGTCAGTCTCTCGAGAACCTCTTAAATTATTGAGCTTGAACTTCTAAAGAAGGCTTAGTGGCCAGAAATTCAAATGGCATAGATTTGGTATATCGACCCGAGCTCTTATGTTCAAATCGTTATATCATACGTACTGTTCGTTTTGAAAGAGTTTGAGACTATTTTAATGGACAGTATCAAAATTCAGCTTATGTCTTTTATAAGGTATATGTGCTCGGTTCAAATCTTGAGAGATACGATAAAAATCTGTGAGGGGTAAAATGATTTCAGACTCTCTTAAAGTGGATGGTATATATGATATAACAATTGTGACATATAGGCTCGGGTTGTTAACTTGAGGCATATGTAACATTCGATGAGACTTGGTAGTGTCAGCATCATACGGCACATTATTTGAATTTAAGCAAGTCCAAATTTTGATCTTAGCAAGGGATTTCGCAATAGAGAGAAGTAGTTTCCAAAGGATCTCAAGAAAATCATATGTTTTTTACATAGTGGAAAAAGTAAATGTAAAAAGTGTAAGCGGACTTTACGTGGCTCTCTTGTAAGATTGCAAACATCAAATTCTGAGTTTGGAATCAGAAACTGTGTCGTTTCACATACGTCCACCAAACAAATCCAACCCAATACAAAACAATCAATATATTGTAAAGATGTATTGTCAATTTCACTCTGATTCTAATGCCTATTTTAAAAATATGTGCTTTCTGTCTCATAGTTGTAGGACTTTTAGGGTTTCCTTTATAGATGTACAAGACAATCATATGGAGACGATAAAGTGGACCGCACTGTATTGAATTAGTCATTGCTTCGTGGGAATTGATATTAGATTTTAATACCAAGTGTCAAGCTTCAACCTATTAAGAAATTTGCACCAATGATCCTCAACCTATTATTCTATGGCAAGTTGGTCAACACATTTATAGATAATAAATCGATCCTTAACCTTTTGTTATAGTTTCACAATCAAATTTTAAAATTAAAAACAATTCAAATCTTTGTTAAAATATTTCATTTTGTCTTTCCACTTTAGCTAATACAAAAATATTCGAAATGAAACACGCTTCTATAATAATTATATAACGATTTCTATTTTGAAAACTTAATAATAAAAGGATAACTGCCTGCCTTGTATTGTTGTCATATGACATAATCTGGCTGAGGAATCTAATGTAAAATATCATTACATAGTTTGTGAATAATAAAATATTAAGTAAAGTGTCACGCTCTCGTCTTGTTTAATTAATAAAATATTTAGGGAGACTTTACAGCGTTGACTTTTTAGTTTACGAATTCAAATGTAATTTGTGTCTATAAAAATGTTAAAAATGCTAATTGTACGTACTGGTACACAACCCTCTCATACGTGTGTGTGGTCCACAATAAGACCCACATTGTAGGACTCAAACACATGTGAGAGGATTGTGTACCGAGATGTGTACTAAGGTGTGTAAGTGTAGCAATGTTCTAAAAATGTTGCTAATCAGGTGCAGCCAATAAAGATTATGTGGAAAAAAAAAGTCTATACAAATGGTTTTGTCCTTGAATTAATCTAGTTTGACAACTAGTGACTTGTCAAGATTCATTTCATTTAAAAAAACAGTTTTTAAAATGAATGGACCGTCAAACATGAAGTCCTAAAATGATTTTGTAAAGAAAGTTGTAAGAGAGCCATTTTGGTATGTGATTCTTCTCTCTCTCTCTCTCTCTCTCTCTCTCCCCTAAATGGCTTTTGTTTGCATGCAGAATATTACGTTGATTTTGAGAAGTTCCATGCTACAACGTTTACTTTGACAAACTCACAACGGCACTCAACTCCTTTAACTATTCTTTTCAAGATCTTGGTTCCAGTTTTCTTCTTGGAATTTCCCTTTTGGCCTTTTTCTTTCTGTCTTGGATACTCTCTCTCTCTCTCTCTCTCTCTCTCAAAAACCCACCCTTCTTTATTCACTTTACAAATACCCCTTCACTTCTCTCTCAACTCACCAATTATTTTCTGATTCTGGTGGATGAAACCGAGAAGATGGCCAAGTTTTGTATCAACGATAATGTGGATGTTCTGATTGAGGTATTGAAGAGACTCGATGATCGCTCACTCGGTGTGGCTGCTTGTGTTTGCAAGACGTGGTGCTCGTTAACTCGGAACGACTCGTTTTGGGAACACATGTGCTTCCGCCAGCTGTCACCGCCACCCGAAGGTGTACGGGCTGTGGTGGTGGCGTTGGGTGGGTACCGGAGGCTGTACATTTGCTGTGTGAAGCCAGTACGGGAGGTACGTGAGTTCAACAGAGTTTGGACTCGGCATGAGATGGAACTCTCTTTGTCTTTGTTCTGTGTCGACTATTATGAGAGGGTTTTGCTTGGTGGAGGTGGTGGTAGTGGCGGCGGCCGACTTGGTAGTGACTCGGCCGCCTCCGCCTCGCTGATGCTCCTTTGCAAAGCTGTGAACGTGTGATGGGAGTCGATGACATCATTTTTATTATGATTTGATTTATTATTGGCATTTTTACTATGTTATTCATTCAAAAAGAAAAGAAAATTAATGGAGAATACGTTTATTTTTCCTGTCTATTAATCTTTTTGGGATTCAGAAAAAGATTGATGTTCCCTAGTTAAAATGCAGATATCTTGCTTAATTTTCTTTTATTCAGTTACTCAAATGTTCATTCTCAAGTTTATTTTAGAATTAAGCTAGTTGGTGTTCAACTAGTTTGACACCCGAGGTGTCAAAATCAAGATTATTGATTTGATCAAATGTTGTTAAAATCAATGATAAAACTGTGTGAGAAATGCTAGTGGTACATCACCACTAACATCGGGGTGTCCATAATGGACACCCGGCGTTACATCATTGGAGAGAAGGTCGGTGGGGTCGGCACTCCCTCCAATGAGGGGGCGCCGGGTGTCCATTATGGACACCCTTATGTTAGTACCACTAGCATAATTCAAACTGTGTATCGTATCAAAGAGTGTAAACAAAACTATCAACCATAATATAAATGTAGCAAAATTGTTTACTTTATTATCATCTCTTCTTCTTTACAAATTGTCCGTATGCACTTGCGTCAAAGAAAAACAAAGAGATATATTGGAAAAAAAACTTCCAACGTTTATGCATCGATAAAATTGAACCAACTGTTAACCCACAAAGGGCAAATAAGTAAAAGACTATTTTGCCCTTCAACTAATTAATAAAGTCTTGCAGCAAAAACAGGATACATAAAAATGAACTAGGAACAGAATCACTTGAGTGCTCACATTTGGCATAATAATCCCATCACATTCTCATGCCTTTAGTCGGTTCCAGTATAACATTCTAATGAAATTCCCAGTGCTATGATAATCGATTGGGCAATTTGGATAGCACTCGACCATTACAGAAGATTGAGAAGAAAATCTGTCTAGTCGTATTCCATACTATGCACAACTTCCTAAGAATGTTGCAAGAAATCGAATATAAGAAGCATTTCTATAAACAAGCAGTCAATAGGTCAGAATTTTTGTTACAGATTGCTAAACAGCTGAAAACACAATACTTGTGTATGGATCAGTTTCGAACTATTTAATTTCTCCATAACAGGTTCAAGACTCTGTTTAGATCTGTACATTATCATCAAGTCTCAACGCTGTATGATAATGAAATAACCTGCCGAGTTCAGTTTCTGCTTTGGCATCTCTTTCTTCGTATTTTCCAGCTTAAGTTGAAGATGCTCCTGTGATAGCATCGGATTCATGCATTACCATATCTCTTCCTTAAGATTTCATGCCCATTTCAGTCTGAGGATGCTTCGAATGCATTGCCTACAACGCCATGCCACACTGGACTCGAAGTTAAGCTTTTCATTTGACTCAACTTTTCAACAGCCTGTCTTTCAAATTCAGCAATGCGATTTTCATCTAGAGCATCAACGCGCTTCTCTGTCTGACCAGGGCTTACATTGTTGCAAACCTCGGGTTCTACCTGAAGAAGCTCTTCGGGAGTTGCAGCAGGGTCGAGATCCCAGCAACCCTCGGGCAAGCTAGTGCCTTCTACTTTAAGTAAACAAGACGGCACCTGATGTGAAAACCGTAACATCTCTTTTCTTGGAATCCATCGAATGGCTTCTTTGCTCATATTCCTCTGGTACACAGTCTTGAATCCATCAAGCTTAACTAGAGGTGTTACCCACACACCATGATCTTCAGAATAGTTATCAAGAACCTCGACCATTTCGTACTGGTGCCTTACGTCATTCGGAGTTTTTCTGTTCCAATCTGGTGACCAGTTACGGTATACTGCCCAAATGTCTCCACTTCTTGGGTAGATTCTAACACAACCTCCTCTACCGGCTTTCTCCCTGCTAAGAACATGAGAAAAGATGTTGACTTGCTCGATAATTTCAGAGTTGAACGCTCTAAAATTTCCACAAGATTTGGTAAACCCTGAAACCAACCAATTTACAGACCCAAACTCACTATCCGATTTTGAACTCAAATAGCTGATAAAAATCTTAAATGGCCTAACTGAGATAACCTCGCGGATAAGACAATACAATCGAGGCATACCATCTTCATCATACAGGGCCCATATCTGCTTTGGTTTAAAACATTCTTCTGATCTATCTTTGTCAAAATCATGGAAATCCGAGTCCGGTACTGTAATTGACATTGAAACAACTCTCTTTAGTTCTGCTAGATGACCAGTACCAATTGAACCTGATATTATAGCTGCCTCACAGGATTTATCAACTTTAGCATGTGCTCTTCTCTTCTCGGCCTCTGCAACTTCTGCTTCTGAATTCAACCTTATCTCTTCTAGTTTCTCACGGATTTCTGATCTTGCTTTATCAATCAACAACTGTCTAGCATCAGATGCAGGGGAAACTGCAGAGCGTTTAATTGAAGTCTCAGATGGGAAGGGAAGTTTAGAATTAGGATCCAAATTTCCATTCCCATTGGCCATTTTTACTTCTGTAGCACTTTTTGGAGGCAAATCTTCATGTCCACTGGCACAAATACTTCCAGAGTCAACTTTTCTCTTCTTGGCAGGTCTACCGCGCTTGGATCCTGATATTCCATTAGAACCAGTACATGCATTAGAGACCATATGAACTGCAGCCTCTACCACACGATGTTTTCCATTGGGTTTTGTTTTATTTACCTTTCCACTTGATTGATAAAACACAAGGGAGGAAGTAGCTAATCCATTAGGGTCTACAATACCCACTGACTTTCCAGAGGACGAGTTACACTGAAACGATATATTGGAGAGACACTCTGATCCATGTCCCATATGATGTCCTGAAACTCCATTAGGAGCACAATATCCAGTGGTCATTGGTATATATGTAGCTCCACAGCCATGATTTCCATAACCACTTTCAGGCACATAGGACCAAGAGCCATATGAGAAAGAACCATCTACAGGGGCTAGTCCAGTTTCAACAGCAACAAAAACACCACGGCAGTTTTTACAAGAGAGTCGTTTGTTCGCGTACTTCCTGAGATATTCATATTGAACGTGACAAGATGTACAGACTGTCCAAAATGTATCAAGTCTCCTATGAGAAGCTGAAAACTTGGAATAACTGTCATAAACACCAGCCCCAACATTCTGTCCAGTAAACAAATTTCTCCGGTAATCGTAAGAGCTCCTTTTGACGCTATCAGATAGAAGTGTCCATGCCTCAGAGACAAGCCTGAATGCCCCATCAGCCCCAACAGTTTTGTTCTTATCAGGGTGGAGCAACACTGCCATCTTCTTGTACTGTTTCTTTAATTTTGACTTGTCAACAGATGGATCTAATCCAAGGATCGAATAGAAGTCAAATTCTCCATTAATTTTTTTCTCAGAAGCAATGTAAACTCCGTATGTAGCCACCATTTGAGGTATACCCTCCAGTTGAGGACACAGTTTTTGAGCTTTTTCAGCATAATCCCTGGCACCCACAAAGTCGTTCTCGGCAAATTTTTTTTCTGCATTTGTTTTTGCTCTGAGCGCTTCGTCTATATTCGGTTCCATTTCAACTTTCAGAATTCAAAACCCAAATTCTCAAATGAAAACTACAGGCAGCATCTGATGGACATCGCTCCAAGCCCCACTCTCAAAAACAGCTGGCGTTACACTTCTGCACATTTAAAAACACAGGAGATAACTCTAATTTCCAGTTTCTTAACTTAATCTGATTCCATATATATTACTTGAAAATAAGTGAATTTCAAAAAAAAAAAAAAACTAAAAATGATTCTATATCCATCAAATATATTTATTAGAAATCTTCACAACCACTGTAGTTCAAGCATACTTGAATCTAATTATACTATCTCTTCAAAGATATTCTTCCCTAGTCAAAAACAGTTTCAATCTTAGTTCAACAAGTATTAAAAACAAATAAACCACCACAATTTACCCGTAGTGTTCAAATCAAGCTAAGACCATCTTAAATAATAATAAATAAATAAAAACCAAAAGAAAAAGATAATTTCGCCAATTACAGATCAAAAAAACCAATTAACCAAAAGTAGAAAGAAAACGGAAAAAACTTACTGAGATTTGAATAATCCAGACCCAGATCACCAAATACTTTTCTGATCCTCAAATTTGATGCAGATCTATAAAGAATTTAGGGTTTCATCTATAAAGCAAATCTATAGTATAAATGCATATATTATAAAAAGTAATAAAAAATTAAGGGAAAAAAGGAAAGCAAGTAGAAAAAGGGTGTGGAGTAGAAATGATAGGAGAGGAATTTTCCGGTTGCGAACGACGGCGAGGAAATGGAAGATTCCGTCGAACGCCGACGAGGTATAAAAATAATTAGTTATTATTTATTTAAGTAGTTGTACTACAACTATGTATGTAGTTAAAAATATGTATATTTATACAAATAAAATAATTTGATGAGTACACCCCAAAACCATAACTCCCACACCCGAAGAGAAAAAGAAAATATTTCTCATTTCTTTTATTATAATTAATTAAAGAGTATAAGTTTTCTCCCAAAAACTAATTTTGTATAAATGATTATTCAGTTAGTGAATAATATGTGTGGTCGTTAGTGTGTTGGATTTCTTCGATAAACATACACAATAATTTTTTCCACAATTTCACTCTGATGTTGCTTTTATCGTGGGTGATCGATGGAGGAATAGTGTTAAAATGAGATATATTTGGGATGGTATTTACAACAATCTAATTTTACAAATTCAATCTTAACTTTTACAAATTAACGTAATCTAATTTAATAACATATAAATAATAAGTTATCAAATACAAATACCAAAAAGTAAATATTACTAATAAAATTTCGATATTCATATCAATAATTTATTTGTTTTAAACTTTCAAGTCTACATAAAAGTGAAATATAAATTAGAAGTCACAAAGATAAAATATTTTAAAGTATTGATAATACTTACCAACTATTTAATGTAATCATCAGTTGGTTGACTTTCCATACTAACTATTAAGAAACTATACAAGAAAAATTGAAAAAAACACAACTAACAAACATAAATAAACTCTAAATTGTTCAACTAATAAGATTTAATAAGAAAAAAATTATTAATTTGTTTAGAAAAAATAAAAGAAATTAATTTATCCAATATTAAAAAAAAAATTTGGTTCTTATTCGGTTCTTGGTCTAGAACCAAGAACCGAACCAAACCATTTGGTTCTCGATTCGGATACCTGTTCGGGTATTTCATTTTAAAAAATCAGCTCGATTCGGTTCGAATATTTTGCCCAACCCTATTTGGGACTCGGAAGTGTCTAATAATAATTTTAGCAGGAGATCCCACAAAATGTGTGAAAGACTGGGTAGTAATTATGAGTCGTAGGAAATGTTTCGATAAAAGTATGTTCTTATAGTTTAAAGTGACATATATCATGTCCTTTAAGCTTATCTAAACATGTTTAGTTCTTCTGTTAGAAGTTGGATAGCCTTTTATGCCGTAGTCTGTAGAGATTGCACCTTAGAGATGATTTTAGAACAATGATTTGTCATCGTCTTAAAATGATTTTAGAAGAGCAATAGTTGATTCTGAAAATGAATATGATTTTTTTTGGATAATTTATAGTTGCTACGAAGAATTACTCTCATCATGAACTTGTATTTTCGAAGTATGTCTCGGTCTACATTTAAAATATTTTGGGTATAATTTTTTTTTAAATAAAAGATCAAATTATGAAAAATCAATTACACTTACTAGTGTATAAAGTATATAAAAGTAACGATTTTGAAATTCTAAACAAGTTCATAAATATATTGGTTTGTTATAAGTACGTTTTACACACTTATCCGTACTTTTAATCTTTGATAACTTATGATTAATTGAACGAATTTTTACCTAATTAAATGCAATTACGTAAATTGTAAGTGAAGATTGGACGTGAATACAATTGGTGAAAACATTATGAACTTGAGCTTAATTGGAGTTATTTCCGAGCAATTAAAGATTATTTGTGTTGCAATCAATCAATTGGAAGTAGTAATGGAACAATCAGATGAAATTTATAGGTTTTGAAAGGCAAATTCGATAATTGAAAAGTTTGTAGAATAAATTACAAACTTTCGAAACTTGTATGAGATCAATATTTTATGATTTTTGAATGATGATGAGTAAATTTTAAAGATTTCAAGGTGAATGACTTATATTGCAATTAAGGAAGCATATGAGATAAATAATAGAAGAATTCATGGACCAAATTAGAAGACTTTGAAAGTTGAAGGGGAAAAAATATACTTATCTTCCAGGAAGGTATGAAATTACTTTATACCATGTGATGTCTGTCACCAGGTTGTGTTCCAGGAATTAATGGTATGCAATTACTCCCACTCATTTCTTCCAATACGACCTTACTATTAGACGGATGTTTATTTATATACTTATCCTCCAAGGGGTTGCATTTTTGCTAACAAAAACCTTCCTATATAGAGATCTGTAAACATAATATCCCTCAATATCTTTAGGGTATCCCACAAACAGGGATATCTTTGATATAAACTTTAACTTTTCTACCTTCCCTTTTAGCACACGAGCCAAACTCCCAAATTTTGTACGTAACGCAAGCTGAACTTGAATCCATACTACAATTTCAAGGGAGTTTTGAGAAATACGTAGAAGTTGAAAATATATTATATCCCAAAATGAAATGGCAGAGGTGGTTACATTCTAAAATTCTAAATTCCAACAATTAATAGGTATTAATTCAAATGTGAAATTACACTCCCCCACCTTCTTTTGAAATTTCAATTCTACTTATTCTACTTTTTTATTCACCAAACTCTCTGTGTTTCAGTTTTATGTTTTGAGTTTTGAATTCATTTTGAATTTTGTGTTTTAAGTGTCAATTTTGAAATTGTTGAAAATGTGTTCTTTTTAGCATTTTGAAAAATTATTTTGAAAATACCAAAAACGCGTTTTGAAAATTTTGGCTTGATTATAACTGAAAACACCCAAAACGAAAAATTTATCATTTTGGATTTTCTTCGTAAATTTTTAACTTGTTTTCAAAAACGCATTTTCGAAAATATGAAAGATGATTCGTTTTCACTGTTTTGAAAAATAAAAAACAGAAAACGACTTGAAAATAGTAAAGAGAACATGCCCTTAACTTTTCCTAACCGTGCGAAACGCCACAAAAATAAACACGTCATCTTCTTCCTAACTCCCACTTCACCATATTGCAGTCGCCAACGGCCACCCCTGCAATCATTGGCCAACCACTGTTGTCCAAATAAGTAAATATCCATCCCATCGTTGCTTAGCGCCACCACCACCACCTCGCCGCCACAATCCCGTTTTGCAAATGGATGACTTTTTTGTTTTGTTTTGCTTTGCTTTTTGTTTTTGTTTTTTGTGAGATTGGCTGTTTGTGGTGGTACTTTAGTATAAAATTTATAGTAAAAACTTAAAATTTAAATTATATTTTGAGAATAAAAAACGATTAATAGGTGAATTTAGGAAATATGAAAATAGTAATTATTTTTAATGTATTTGTGAATTGTTTCCTTAAATATGTGAATTTAGACCACGTGATTTCTTTTTTGAAATTGAGTTGAAATAAATTATTACAATTAATAGGTGCGAATGGGGTTAAAACGGAAAAAATAAAAAATAAAATCAATGAATCTATTAAATATGCGAATTGATAATATTTTTTTATTAATTTGACATCAATCATGAAAATTAATATGCTAGAGTATTATTGAAATAATTTCAAATATAACTTGAATAAAATTATCCAAAAATGATTCTCAACTCACGTGATATTTAATAAATTATAAATATGTCAAAAAAAAAAAAAAAACCCCTTGTTCAACTAGACCATATTTCTAAGGTATCCATCCTTTCCTAAAAACTTGGAATAAGAAAAGTTTATTTGAATTTTCAAAAGGTATCCTTTTCTAAGGTATTATATTACTATGATACCTTGAAATTTTTGTTTGTAAATTTATATTAAATCTATCTTCGTTGTTTGACACGTCGATCATAGTCCCAAAATAACATTTTCTAGTATTTTTAGGGTCAGTTGAATTACTAAAACTCTTATAGCATGTTTAAAAGTGGCTTATCTTGGCGTAGCAAGATAACTAGAAGTATCACTTTCAACTAAATAAAGTATATGGTTGATAAAGTTGGTGAATAATCTACATGAGCTAGCTACTATTTTATTGTGATAATCAGTCAATTGCTCAGAACAAAGTGTCAAGACGGACAATTAAGTTGCGAAATTTGCTCATAAAAGGATTTAGACTTGGTGGGGGGTGTTGAAAATCATAACAAATGAATAACAAGAGACAAGGGAATGTGTATAAGATAAATATTTAGAATATGCTTTTAAGACCTAATCTAATTAGCTTAATATGTGTGAACTCATGCAGCCAGTGTGTACTATTATACCTGTTTATTCCTTCATTTTGGATATTCATTTTCAGAAGAATGTTCTGTTTTCAATTGCATGCTTCATTTTGCTGATAAAATCATCAATGTCCATGCTACCCAATTCTCCACCAAACC